GAGGGGGAAGCCCCATCTGTATCGAATATTCCTGGCCCTCAGCGCTTCTGTGAGTGGGCGCAATGTGCGGCGTGCTTGTAGTGTGTGCCAGGAGAGGTCAGGGAAGATTTGGATGGGGTCATTCCGGTATAGTAGCGGTTGTGAGGTCTGTCGTAGGGCTCTAAGTATTTCTTCTTTTGTGGCGAAGTAGTGTACCCTGCATACCACATCACGCGGCTGGTCTCTCTGGGTACCGCGAGGCTTTAGGGCCCTGTGCGCCCTGTCTAGCAGGATCGGTGTGTCCTCCGCTTGACCCAGGATGCGGTTAAACATGTCGGCTAGCGTGGCATGGAGATCTTCTTGGTCTTGTTCAGGCAACCCTTTGATTCTAAGGTTGTTCCTGCGCCCTCGGTTGTCGATGTCATCTATTACTCTATGCATGGCAGATAAGTGCATTGTGTGTGATTGAATTGTATTGTAACTGCATGTGTTGCATTTGTGAGGTCAGTAGGTCTCTATCATCTTCCAGGGTATTTACCTTCTCTTTCACTTGGCGGATATCAGATCCCAGGGATTCCAGTTTGGTCTGGAATGATACCTCCAGCCTGTCTAGCATGGCGGCGATGTCTGCTTTGGAGGGCAGGTTGCGCAGCACCTCTTTCAGGCCACTGTCTGTCTGGTATTGGGAGGCATCTGAGCCCTCCGGGCTCGAAGGGGCTGAGCCGTCATGCGGGGATTCCGGCGCCATATTGGGGCCTAGCGCGCCAGCTTGGTGGTCCGCATTGTCGCGGAAAAATTGTGAGTGCCCCGGATTTGGCTACCGGCTGCTTAGGGGTGGTGTGCTGGGCAGTGGAGGCTCTTTTTGGGTGGCCCATCGTGTAATTTGCGCCCGATGTTAGTGGATTCTCTGTCGGCTCGGACGGAGCTCACTCAAAACGCGTCCATGCGATAGCGCGGCTAGCTCCGCCCCTTTATAATTGTTATATTTTACACAAATTGACTCTCATGTCTTGTATGCCTTTATATGTTCACTGCTTATCGCATATATTGTAAACTGCTTTTATGCTTATATATATATATATATATATATATATATATATATATATATATATATATATATATATATATATATATATATATCATTAATGTTTTTATTTTGTCCCTAATTTTTGATGGTAGTGAATTGTCCATTTTATTTTGATTTCTCCTTTTCATCCCATATACATTTAGAAGTAGAATGGAAAAAATGTTTGTAGCAAATGAAAACAGGAACTGTTCATGTTTAGATGGTATAATACACCACCTAGTGGTAGACACTCAGAATTTAATGGTAATCTCATACTGCTCATGGTTTATGAATGTGATCTATTAGAGCTAATAACAATTCAGACACCTGTTTGTACACGAAGGAAGCTGTTGAGGTCATTACATAATTCAGCAAAGCCATCTTTGATTGTCTGTAATACTCCTAGATAGAGCTTTAAGCGATACATTGCCATAGATGTGCAATGTAGGACAAAAGTATAGGTATGTAAAGGACAGAATTGGGCTCCAATACCAGACTGAAATCATCAAATGACAAGACATAACCTACCTATATTAATGTATTTCTTTAGAACTTACAAATATTTCTGACTAGAGAGTTGATCTCTTATGAATCCTTGTATCTATTGGGTATACATTGAATAAATGGCTAGAGGCAAGAACTGGGCATTCCAGGTTTCTCCATATAAAATAAATCTATAACACTTATATTATCTGTAATCCATAGTATAAATATACATACCTCTGTGCACATGTAGTAAAGTAAGTAAACTGCATTTAACCCCCCAATACATTACACACAATTCCTTCCCTTTAGCGTATTATTTTGTCTTGTAATGATAGTGGACAGAAAATGTAAATTGAGTTTGTGAAAGACGTCTTACTCAAGAAAAGTTTAACTTTACCAAATTTATGCAAGTGAAATATAAATATATATAACATTTAAATATAAATAAATATATATATATATATAATAAATAGATTTTTTTTTATTGATCCTGCTTTTTTCCCCTCTATTGGTCACTTCTCACTAAATCTCTAAATAAAATGTGTTAACGAACATCTAGTGGTTGTCCCCTAACCTTCAATCATCTATTTTCCATCAATCATAATTTTTTTTGCATCATGGAAGGCACTCCAAATCACAAAATAAACAAAAGGGCTTGACTGTTGTCCTTTTCATTTGCTTTGTGATTGCCCATATGGCAATTCAGATGGGTTGAATTTGGACATATCTCTGATCGCCCAAAATATGGACAAATTGCGATTAGTTTGAAACCAAATGCACAAGTTCTAATAGTTAATAATAAATTAATCTGCTATGTGCACAAAATACATTTTTTAAATTGGAAACTTTAAGAGCAAAAATCCTAAATATCTTGTAATGCTTTGTGATTACAAACGAGATAAAGTAGGTAAACTAGCAAGGAAATAAACCCTGTGACACAAAAGATAAGTGGATCAAAAATAAATACAAAGATATATACTTAGAGCTGGGTACCACAGGATACCTAAAAGCAGAGAATACACAACAACAGTGTGAATCGTAAAAAAAAACATGTACATACAGGCAATGGGGTTGGAGTATAACTCACATGGCCCAGAGCTGTCCCAGGCTCTTAATTATAGGCTCTAGGGTGCCACAGATGGCTAAGCAATCCAGTAGCTTCAAAAATCAAGAACTGATGATGGAGCTTCAGTATTACAAAAATAATTGATTTAGTTAAATATAAACACACAAAATAAACATGCAACAATACTAAAAAAGTGGGTACTAAAAATAGAGTGGTAGTGGGAGTTCCAAATAAAATCCACAATAGGTATCACTCACCACCTACTAGTGATAGAAATAAAATAGATAAAGTGCCTGTTATGAAGTGCAGTCAGCAGACGCATTTCGGCAGTATAGCCTTCTTTCAGTGCTGATGTTTTAGTGTGCTTTCGTTGGTTATATAGCGGTATGCATCATTAGTTCAACTGTCTTCAATTTCCTGTAGTTGCGGCTAGCTGCAATGTCATTTCCGGCTCCTTCTGATGCTGTTCGTTTGTGGAACACAACGTCTCAGGTGTTCCCTTATGTTGTCATTCAAATAGATCTCGTACTATATTCCTATCAGAGTTCGTATTAAAGGGGCTTAAAATGTCCAGTTCACCATATTAATTATGGGAAAAATTCTTAAAGGACCACTCTAGGCACCCAGACCACTTCAGCTTAATGAAGTGGTCTGGGTGCCAGGTCCCTCTAGGATTAACCCTTTTTTTAATAAACATAGCAGTTTCAGAGAAGCGATCACATGCCCCCCGGGGGCCTCATTCACCGGAGGAGGGCTGCCTGGGCGGTCTGGCAGCCCTCAAGAAGAGGATCGCGGCGGAGGTGAGTACCGCCGGTCCTCTAGGGGTTAAAGGTGTTACGGCGTTCTATACCGCAGCAACGGCTTTAAAGCCGCGACGGCATAGAAAGCCGTAACGGCGTTAAGGGGTTAATGTATCCCTCTTTCTCTCCCTAAAGAATGTAGTTAATAATGGTTTATTCCTTTACAAAATGCTTCTTGTATGTTTACACCCTGTTCCAAATTATTATGCAAATTCTATTTAAGTGTCACAAAGATTAAATATTTTGTTTTTCAGTTTAACTCATGGATGGCATTGTGTCTCAGGGCTCTTTTAATCACTGAAAACAATCTCGGACACCTGTGATTATTAGATTGCACGGTGAGCTCAATTTAAGGAAAAACTACTAAAGGAGGGTGTTCCACATTATTAAGCAGAGGACCATTTTCATGCAATATGGGGAAGGAAAAGGATCTCTCTGCTGCCAAAAAGAGTGAAAGAGTTCAATGCCTTGGACGAGATATGAGAACATTAGATATTTCACAAAAAACTTAAGCGTGATCATCGCACTAGTAAGAGATTTGTGGCTGATTCAGAGCACAGACGGGTTCGTGCAGATAAAGGCACATTGAGGAAGATTTCTGCCAGATCTATGCATTGGATCAAGAGAGCAGCTGCTAAAATACCATTACATAGCAGCAAACAGATATTTGAAGCTGCTGGTGCCTCTGGAGTCCCACGGACATCAAGGTGTAGAGTCCTCCAGAGTCTTGCAACTGTGCATAAACCTTCTATTCGGATACCACTAACCAATGCTCACAAGCAAAAAACGGCTGCATTGGGCAGAAAAATACATGAAGACTAATTTTCAAACAGTCCTGTTCACTGATGAGTGCCGTGCAACCCTGGATGGTCCAGATGGATGGAGTAGTGGATGGTTGGTGGACGGCCACCCTGTTCCAACAAGGCTACGACGTTAGCGAGGCGGTGGTGGAGTCATGTTTTGGGCCGTAATCATGGGAAGAGAGCTGGTTGGCCCCTTCAGGGCCCCCTGAAGGTGTAAAGATGACCTCTTCAAAGTATGTGGAGTTTCTGACTGACCACTTTCTTCCCTGGTACAGAAGGAAGAACTATGCTTTCCGTAATAAAATCATCTTCATGCATGACAATGCACCATATCATGCTGCAAAGAATACATCTGCATCAATGGCTGCTATGGGAATAAAAGGAGAGAAAATCATGGTGTGGCCTCCATCATCCCCTGACCTCAATCCTATTGAGAACCTTTGGAGCAATCTCAAGCAAAAGATCTATGCGGGTGGGAGGCGGTTTACATCCAAACAGCAGCTCTGGGAGGCTATTCTGACATCTTGCAAACAAATTCAAGCAGAAACTGTCCAAAAACTCACAAGTTCAATGGATGCAAGACTTGTGAAGCTGCTATCAAATAAGGGGTCCTATGTTAAAATGTTGTTATACGTTTGATTGAAATAGCTTTTGATTTCAGTAAATATGCTGCAAACACAACAAATGACAATTTTCAGTTCTTTACTAGTGATGTCCCGAACGGTTCGCCGAACGGTTTGCCGAAAGGTTCGCCACGGACGGCGAACATAAACATAAACATTGACCCTGTACCTCACAGTTAGCAGACACATTCCTGCCAATCAGCAGCAGACCCTCCCTCCCAGACCCCCCCCACCTCCTGGACATCATCCATTTTACATTCATTGTGAATCTGCATTCTTAGTGAGCTGTCCAGGAGGTGGGAGGGTCTGGGAGGGAGGGTCTGCTGCTGATTGGCTGGAATGTGTCTGCTGACTGTGAGGTACAGGGTCAATGTTTATGTTTATGTTCGCCGTCCGTGGCGAACCGTTTCGCGAACCTTTCGGGACATCACTATTCTTTACAACCTATAAAGTGTTTTGAAACTTACTGTGTGTAATCATTTGGAACAGTGCATTGTAAGTTTCTGTTTAAAAAAAATACTGTTATCATTAGGAGGTTTGTTCAATAAAATTTGAATTGTACTATTAATAGTTGATAACATGAGAATTATGCTGACTGTTATTTACATCAATTATTTAGGTAAATGAGAAAAATATCATTTGCATAATAATTTGGAACAGGGTGTAAGAATCTTTTGTTTTTTGCATTACCATTGTATATTTTATATGTAGTATATTATGCATTTTATATGCTGCGTGGTATACTATAGATATATAAGTGTATGTGACAACATTTTAAAAGAGACCTTTCTGAATATACCTATTTTATGTTTTCAAAATATACTCTCCGAATGTATTTTATATTTATACTTTTTTATTTTAATTTATCCCTCTTTCTCTCCCTTAAAGAAGGTGGTTTGTTCCTTTACAAAATGCTTCTTTTATGTTTAAGAATTTTTCCCATAATTAATATGGTGAACTGCACATTTTAAGCCCCTTTAATACGAACTCTGATATCTGGAGGAAGACATATACTACGAGATCTATTTGAACGACATCATAAGGGAACGCCTGAGACGTTGCGTTCCATAAACCGACGGCATCACCAGAAGGAGCCGGAAATGTCTTTGCGGCTGTCCGCAACTACAGGAAATTGAAGACACTTAATTTGAAGATTGAAATTGAAGATAACCAACAAAAGCACACTAAAACATCAGCACTGGAAGAAGGCTATACTGTCAAAACGCATCTGCTGACTACACTTCATAACAGGCACTTTATTTTATTTGGGTTACTAGTAGGTGGTGGGTGATACCCATTGTGGATTTTATTTGGAACTCCCACTACCACTCTATTTTTAGTACCCACTTTTTTAGTATTGTTGCTTGTTGATTTTGTATGTTTATATTTTTCTAAATAATTATTTTTTAATGCTGAAGATCCATTATCAGTTCTTGATTTTTAGGGTTAATGGATCTCCTAGCCATCTGTTGCACTCTAGAGCCTATAATACAGAGCCTGGGACAGCTCTGGGCCATGTGAGTTATACTCCAACACCATCCACTATATGTACATGTTTTTTTACGGTTCACACTATGTTGTTTTGTATTCTCTGCTTTTAGGTTTCCTGTGGCATCCAGCTGTAAGTATATATGTTTGTATTTATTTTTTGATCCACTTTATCTTTTGTGTCACAGGGTTTATTTCTTTGCTATTATACCTACTTTATCTCGTTTGATGTTTTATTGAGTGTTTGGGGAAGCACTTTACTAGTTGACACATTTGCTACTACACTTGAAGCGCCTTGCACACTTTTTTCTTTTTTGTAATGCTTTGTGATTGCAACACAGAATGTGCTCCTAAGTAAGCGTTTAGGTTTAATCTACTCAGTATTTCTCTGAGCTGCATTGTACTTTAATTCCATAAGATGGAGACATAGTAAAAGGAATAATATGTGTCATCATCAGGATATGATGGCTGCAAAGATAATGCAAAATATTAACCCCTTAAGGACCAAACTTCTGGAATAAAAGGGAATCATGACATGTCACACATATCATGTGTCCTTAAGGGGTTAAACAATATAAAGAAAGATTTGTTTTTTGTTTTAATTTCAGTTTCCAAATAGGCAAACGTATGAAAAATACATATTGTTTTATCAACTAGCATTATTTACATTGCATGAACATAACTCCAAAAGCTCGGTTTACTGCTGTTAGGAGAATTTTTTTTTTTTTTTAATTGTATAAGGTTACTTAAAATCACCTATTTTGGAAAACCAATCTGGGGATTCAGTTTCACCATATGGCCATATTGTGTTTTGCCCACTACTCCTTCAGAGTACCTCAATATTGGTGGATCCTACACTAATTCAAACTTGGTAGACAAATTAAATAGTGCTAGTGCTAAATAAGCAAAAGTGCATTATAGGAAAGCATGGAATTGGCTGAGATTGTCAATTCTGATACGGTATGCCAAAGGCCACCCTGGCCAATCAGCATCTCCCCATGTAGATTAATTGAATCAGTGAATCTCTGTGAGGAAGGTTCAGAGTCTCCATGCAGAGGGTGGAGACACTGAGTGTTGCTGCACTACCCCAGGAAGTACTTCTATAACCATCTGAGGAGTCGCCACTGGAGGTGTCCCTAGGGAGCAATGTAAACACTGTCTTTTCAGAGAAAAACTTCAAAACGTCCGCAGGTACTAACTATGCTCATCAGAACTACTACAAGAATCTGTAGTTGTCCTGGTGACTTTAGTGTCACTTTAAGGAGGTTTCAGATAGTAATGTCACTATAATTTTCTTAGAGGAAATATATCATATGTGCATTGTTAGTATATGCATCAAAGCACTGTCACTTTGATTATTTAGTTTTGAAACTGCATTTTTGAAACTATCTTTATCACATTTATTGCATTGTATAAATTCACAGTGCTCTTGTGGCAGATTATTATATTGATGCACTTTTGCTTATTCAGAGCACTATTTAATTTGTCTCCCATGTTTTAATTAGAGTAGGACCCACCGATATTGGGACACTGTGACCGTAGTGGTGGGCTTAAAACAATATGAACATATGGTGGAACTGAATCCCCATATTTGTTTGCTGAGATAGATGATTTTAAGTAGCCTTATACAAGTTAAAAATTAATTTTTATGTGTATGCTGTTCCTTAATCTGTATAATGAAGAAACATATTAAAACCAACTGGTAAATTGTTAATTTCCATGGTTCTATCTAAACCTCTGTCAGCCATAAAACACCCCCAAGCCTCTAAGATTGTTGTGTTTCAGGCTGCACAGTTCTTAACCACAGTACAGACCAAAGGCAGATACATACACAAATATACTGTGCTACCAGTCTACTACTCTAATACTAGCCTTACCTTTGTGTCACTTTACCCCACTCCTTCTAGCATGTAAGCTCATTGAGCAGGGCCCTCAATTTCTGTACGTCAAACTTGTCTAGTTACAATTACATGTCTGTTAGTCCATCCATTGTAAAGTGCTACGGAATTTGTTGATTCTGTATAAAAATAATGATAATAATAATATACAATATAAATACCTGTACACAGATATTAATTGCGGAATAGGTTTAAACACAAAGAATAGGAAACTTTCTCATATCTGGAAAATTGTATTGCAGTGTTTTATTGACTGGTCGACATTGAACCAGCGTTCGTGGCAAATGGTAATACAGGTCTGGATATTAGCTAAATAATTAGGGTTATATTGATGTAATATGAATGAAGTGGTGCCTAAATTTTCTAATTTACAATGGAAAGATAAACAGTGCAATTCCAATCTGGGTCACAAACTAATAATGATGAAATAATCGACATATAGGGAAGGAAATAATTCAAATGAACTGTATCATGTATATCTAATACTACTTAGAAAGAAGATATAAATACAGTTGTAGTGTTTTTATTAAACTAAATGACATTTAATTGGTGGCCTTAGTACCAATATTTTAGCTGATACATTTATTATGTCTGAGGATAAAATCCCTAAGTGCACAGTAAGGTCTAAAGAATCATAGATGGAAGTAACTGTTTACATGGAATAAATACCATCTGTTTTGAATAGTCAGACAAACAAATGTTAGTAGTGAATGGCATATTATGAGTAACAAATACGCAATATATGACTCATAACATAATGTGAAATTATAAACTGCATCCAAGTTTTAGGGCTAATTACCTTCTGCATGCATGGAATTAAAAATACATACTTAGGGGGGCGTGTCTGGCAGCTGGCGAAGATGGCCGCGTGAAAGAGGAGCTCCTCATGGCTCGCGATAAAATCGAGCACCAAAAAGCTTACCCCGCAAGTAACACACAGACCATGGGGCGCACAAAGAAACTGAAAGAACCCCAGAGCACCCCCAGGCAATCGGGGTCCGGTACAGAGCCCAGCCGGAAATGGAGGCTGCAAATGAGACCGCGGACTCTCCCCCCGCGACACCCGCCGGATTTTCCCCGGCCCCAACAACCTCACAGGGTGCACAGGGGACGCTGGATGGGGATCTGCGAGCTCTCCTGCCCAACTTGCTTACCAAGGCAGACCTGGAGGCGCTTTCTGATCGCCTCAGTAAAGTAATCCGGGATGAACTGGCACAGGTGAGAACAGATGTAGCCAGCAAGGACGCACGACTCACAGTTACAGAGGCAGATACCAGAACACTCAGGTCAGACGCTGATACAACACGCACCACACTAAATGGCTGAAGCCAGCCTAGCCCACCTGTCAACCTGGGGTGATGACCTTGACAACAGGGGCCGCAGGCTCAACCTCCGAGTGCGGGGGGTAAGAGAGGGGGGCCCAGCGGAAAACATACCAGAGATCCTGCGCACAACCTTCAGCTATGCCCTTGGAGGCCAACAAATTCACAGACTGTGCCTGGTCAGGGCCCACCGCGCACTATGTGCGCCACCAGCACCCGGGGAACAGCTGCGTAATATTGTCTGCTGTCTAGAAAATTTTGCCATGAAGGAAGACATACTGCATGACGCATGGGCACAATATCAATAACCAGCAAATATCCATATACCAGGACCTCTCCCGCTACACCCTGCAGGCAAGAAAGGCCCCCAGACCTATCACCACAGCACTCCATGCGGCAGGTATCCCATATAGATGCTCCCTGTCCGTCCGCACTGAACCAGACCTCCACATTATATGGACCTCGGTGGACGTCTCAGGATTCCAACGCTCCCTAGGGCTCCCGCAAGTACAGGTACCAAACTGGCTGGCTCACCAATTCCTGCAACAAGCAACAGGCCCTCCACCACCACCACTGGGCAGAGACCAGGGCAGGAACAGACCCCAACGCAACCGATCATGGCACCCAGACCCAACAAGACTGGAAGAATAACTGCCGCAGCACGACACAGAGGCAAGCTGTGAGGGGACGACCCACCAACACGTTCCTCGGACACTCATCACACTTGTGATGAGTGAATTGGATGTCGACCAGACAGCGGAGATATTTACCCGCCTCCCTTTCTCTCTCCAACTACCTCCCTCCTCCACTCCTACCCACTCTCCTCACCTCTCTACACCCCCGTTCCCAAACATTACCCCACACGAACATACCTCACAAGAGACCCACACAGACACCCAGACGTACAAATATGGAAAGGGATCCCTGGCAATTACTGACCACACGAATGTGACAAGCGCTCACACCTACACACCACAACACTAGGCCCCGGGACAGACATCTTAGACGGCTTCACCCACGACCCACCAGACGGTGGGTGCACAATACGACACGCGAGCAGACCACATAGACAAGTAAGCCCTCTGACTACTTTATCACGCGTAACCTAAAGACGGCAAGAAAATGATAATCACATCTGACATGACCCAATAAAATAATGCAGGACTACCCACATTGCAGTAAGCAATTACGCGAACGACTCACAGGCACGGCCACATACACATGTGCAAACGATGGCCATGGCACGAAAAGCTCACACGAGGTTGCTATTTAGACAACGGCACGTCCCGTGCTATATACCATAATTACTCTATACACAACCTATGCCGCAACAACGATGACCACACACTACACACAACAATGAGCCAGAAGCCTGTACCTCAGGTAACAAACACTTTAGGAAAGTCATACTAAAAAAGAAAAAGAGAACATATACTATACATACGTAGATCTGTAGATCTGTACAATATGCATATGTTGTCTGATGATTACTGCTATATGGCGATGCAATAACTGGCCTCTGCGAAGGCACATGCAAGCTCACCATAAAATTGCCGTGATAAGCCTTTGCGTAGGCTACAGTGCAACTATTTGCACCCTTACTATATGCTGGTTAGACTGTTACCAACGAAATAAAAAACTCTTTGAAACTAAAATACATACTTATTCTGACATGTATCAAGAAAGAGGACATTACTCCAAGCTTGTACTCCAGGAGTCTGCTTCTTCGGGTTAACATGGAAGCCAGGATAAGGTTTTTGTAACAAGTACACAAAACTGTGCAACAGAATAAAGCCAATACAAACATACCATTGATCTTTACCTGCACACTAAATGTGATCAATTCAAATATGTATATAACTCAGCTGGAGTTTTTGGGAAACTAATCAGGGGATTTGGAAATTAAAAATATTTTAGTTGGAGAAAATGTCAAATTAGGCTATTATTGCCTAGATATTTTTATTTCCCGGGCACTACCTAACATTCCACAGTTTCGTGCAGGGGTGCCCAAAAGGTAGATCCCAAGATGTTTGAAAACTACAGTGTCCATGATGCTTTGCCATGCTAAAGGCATTCAAAGGGCATGCGAAGCATTATGGGAGTTGTAGTTCTAACACAGTAAAGGAGTTTAAGCATGCGTGGGATATGCATAAGGCTATCCTAACTATAAGATAAGGCCAGGGACTAATTAAAGTATTTACAAAATTGGGCAGACTAGATGGGCCAAATGGTTCTTATCTGCCGTCACATTCTATGTTTCTATGTTCTGCAACATCTGGGGATCTACCTTTTGGGCACCCCTGGTTTAGTGCTTAAACCAGAATGGAAGTTACTTGAGTAGCTTCTCATCTTATGCTCATTTGAAGGCCATCCTTATCTCACAAAGAGATAGAGTATGAATGTAAGTGTAGGACTTTGATTTCTTGATCAGTCTCTCTATCTACTATAGACGTAGCGTTTTACAGCTTTAAGCAGAGTTTTACAATTGCAGATTTCTTCATTAAACCTGAGAATTTGTGGGATTCACCATGAAATGGGTTAAAATGTATGACTTGGGAAAAAAGGTGATTTGCTGAATTTTTCCAATACAGCTATAATGCCGAAAAATGTTTGGTCTTGGTCAATAACGTATATAATACTGCTGGGACATATCATTTGCATTCCAACAAGTTAAGAAACTTAACTTGTTTTTATCACAGTAAAGGAGGAGACTATTTAAAAGAAGAAAAACTACCACAACAAGAGGACATAGTCTTAAATTAGAGGGGCAAAGGTTTAAAAATAAGATCAGGAAGTATTACTTTACTGAGAGGATAGTGGATGCATGGAATAGCCTTCCAGCTGAAGTGGTAGAGGTTAACACAGTAAAGGAGTTTAAGCATGCATGGGATAGGCATAAGGCTATCCTAATTATAAGATAAGGCCAGGGACTAATGAAAGTATTTAGAAAATTGGGCAGACTAGATGGGCCGAATGGTTCTCATCTGCCGTCACATTCTATGTTTCTATGTTTCTTAATGTGGAATACGCATAAATTGGAAATATGCTGATAGAAACTTAAAAAAAAAAAAACTTTGTATTGATTAAAACTGTGAAAAGAATTCTTAGATAGAACTACTGTTGAATTTTGCAATCTTATAATAGATAAAACATATCTGATATATAGTTTAAACTTACGTAAATTAACAGTGTTTAACAGTTTACCTATACCAGATTTAGTATTTATATATTTATAGTCATGCTTTATCTTTTTCAAAGAATAAACCCAAAAGCAAATTTTGTGACTACTAACAGGAAGGGCAGATCAGCTATAGCAGTATTGTAAATTAGTATTCAGCTTTGAATTGTATATCTAAAGGGACACACAACTGCCCAAAAAACAAAACACACAAAAAAAAACCCAACAAATTTACGCCAAATGAAAACATGCATTAATTTCTAAATTAAGGTTTGCATTTTTTATCTGGGGTATGTATAAAAACACCTTGAAAAAGCTGTAGCTCTCTTGCCTTTGGCTTTTGCAAGCCCTCCCCTTCTTCCCTAGCCCAGAGTTTCTGTGGCTGTCCAATCACAGACTTCCCAATGCAGCTCAATGAGACGTCTTTGCAAGGCAGGTGCTCTGAGCAATTGACTGTCTCTTAAGTTTAGCTCCACTGAGCTAAGAAAACCACTAAGTAGCAAAACCTGTTGTATGATTGACAGCCGGAGTGATATAATAAGGTTCATATATAAAAGTGCCAATTTCTATTGGAGTATGCACTAAAAAAGAAATCAGCAACCAAAAGTGCTTTAGGTTTCAGGAATGTCCTTTTAGTGTATTCATTTTTTTTGCCACTTGATGGCAGTAAAACGTCACTTCTTAAAGAACATTTTCTCTCGTGTCCATTCAAATGTGTTCTTATTAAGTAATAAGTAAATAGTCCACATATTGCATTCATGCAAACCATCTATTAATTCATTACCTCCTCTTTTACAGATTCATTCTTTTAGCAGACAATCTTCCATTTCATTGCTTCCTAGTTTATTATGAACTTATTCTAAGTAATTATGGAGTTTACCTAATTTGTTTACATTACAATAATCCCTTAATTTACAGAGATAATAAATATATTGAAGTCCTTTATGTCTTGGAGAATGCCATTAAACATATGAACACTTTTGTATTGCTATAATAACAACACTGAAATAATGAGAAAATATTAAGGGTATTGTCAGTGCAATTTACTGAAATAAATTTGAATAATGTATTGTTTTTTTCATCATGAATGTCATAAAAACCTTCCTGACTATAGCCTGGAACTCTGAAACCATCATGGTGACTGAAAGTCTGGGGACACATTTCCCTGCAGGTGTCTGTAATACAAGCTGTGAGTTTATCACAATACCTGTTTTTCAGTAGGTTGATGAGACAAGGACTAGTAATGAGATAATTGTTTATGTGTCTGTTACATTAGAAACTTGCACTAAAATACAGGTGATACTCGAAAAATTAGAATATTGTGCAAAAGTTAATTTATTACAGTAATGCAACATAAAAGGGGAAACTAATATATGAGATAGACATATTACATGCAAAGCGAGATAGTTCAAGCCGTGATTTGTCATTAGTGCGATGATTATGGCTTACAGCTCATGAAAACCCCAAATCCACAATCTCAGTAAATTAGAATATTGTGAAAAGGTGCAATATTCTAGGCTCACAGTGTCCCACTCTAATCAGCTAAGTAAGCCATAACACCTGCAAAGGGTTTCTGAGCTTTTATATGGTCTCTGTCTGGTTCAGTAGGAATCACAATCATGGGGAAGACTGCTGACATGACAGTTGTGCAGAAAACCATCATTGACACCCTCCATAAGGAGGGAAAGCCTCAAAAGGTAATTGCGAAGGAAGTTGGATGTTCCCAAAGTGCTGTATCAAAGCACATTAATAGAAAGTTATGTGGAAGGGAAAAGTGTGGAAGAAAAAGGTGCACAAGCTGCAGGGATGACTGCAGCCTCGAGAGGATTGTCAGGAAAAGGCCATTCACATGTCTTGGGGACTTTCACAAGGAGTGGACTGAGGCTGGAGTCAGTGCACCAAGAGCCACAACACACAGACAGATACTGGACATGGGCTTCAGATGTCGTATTCCTCATGTCAAGCCGCTCCTGAACAAACAATGTCAGAAGCGTCTTACCTGGGCAAAAGAAAAACAGACCTGGTCTGTTTCTCAGTGGTCCAAAGTCCATTTGGAAACCAAGGTCCCAGAGTCTGGAGGACGTATGGAGAGACACACTGCAAGATGCTTGAAGTCCAGTGTGAAGTTTCCACAGTCTGTGTTGATTTGGGGAGCCAAGTCATCTGCTGGTGTTGGTCCACTGTGCTTCATTAAGTCCAGGGTCAACGCAGCCGTCTACCAGGAGATTTTGGAGCACCTCATGCTTCCTTCCGCAGATGAGCTTTATGGGGATGCTGACTTCATTTTCCAGCAGGACTTGGCAACTGCCCACACTGCCAAAAGCATTAAAGCCTGGTTCAAAGACCATGGGATTACTGTGCTTGATTGGCCAGAAAACCCGCATGACCTGAACCCCATAGAGAATCTATGGGGCATTGCCAAGAGAAAGACGAGAGACATGAGACCGAACAATGCAGAAGAGCTGAAGGCCGCTATTGAAGCATCCTGGTCTTC